TCCTATATCATTATAAATAAAGGAGGTCATTTTCTGTGCTCTGATGAGTTAATTTTATGAGGTTCACACTGATAACAGCAAAGGTTTCTTTCACTTTTCTGCCTCCKCAGACTGGACTCTACTGCAGAAAGACTTGAAGCTGAAGGAATTGGTCTTTTGAAGCTTTTAGGGTGATTCTTAAACAGTTTGTATGAGACATTTGTTGTACATGTTTTACCTGATTTTGTACTTTATTTAGTCATACCTTACATTTAATGGGTGTTTATTGTTTTGTTTTTTTACCAGGATGTATTTGGTTGTAGTTTAATATCTGTAGTTTTGAATTTGGTCACGTTTGTGTGCTGCCTTTCTTGGCCAGGTTGCTCTTGAAAAAGATATATATTTTTTGTCTCAATGAGATCTAGCTGGTTAAATAAAGGTTTAAATAAAAAAATCATTCATTACAACCAAAGGACTGTGGAAAAAAGACAAAAATGGTTCTGTTTCACTCAGTTTTACAGATATCGTGCTTGAACTTGGTGTGGTAGTAGCTGAGAGTCATTCACCATTGCACAAGATTTTTGCATAAATCTTGGACTCTACCTCTTATCCCACTTACACACACTACACAAAAAGGTAAAGTGTGTGTTTGTGTTCGGTACAATACTAAACAGGATGAAAATGGACACAGTATGTGGGTGTGTTTGTGATTTTYTGTAACTGAGTCACTTTTTTTTCCTCATTACTGAGCTTCACTTTAACATTTCTGTTACCATGGCCATAAATTAAAAAAAAAAAGTATTTCAATTTTCTTTTTTTCAGTAAAGTAGGACAGAGAAGAACTAATGAGGTTTTCATTCATGAATTTCCACTTTTATTAATTTAAATCCAAACCAGACAGAAAAGTGCTCTTTTTCAGCTCCATTATTTTCACCTCATACCTGAAAATGTTGCAGTTAATAATTTTTGGGTCCTTCCATATATTTATTTTTCAGTCCTGCTGTCCTCCCACCCTGAAGACAATTGCATCATCTGATGCATCGCAGCACAAACACGTCATCATGGTTAAATATAGAAGCGAACTGATCCCACAGTCATGTCACTTTTGGCACGCTTGATCTCGTCTTATGTGCCGTGGTTTTGTTTAATCTCAACAGGTCTTTTGAGAAATCTCTGAGCTGCAGTGAGTCATTCACCACCAGTTGCACTGCCTCCTCCCAGCCCCCTAAACTTCTGTGCTCTGACTATTTTCATTCATTAGAAATAAGACAAAATGATGATTCAATTACAACAGCTACATTAGTTGGAAGTGTTAGAAATGCTGTTTTTAGTGGCTTGGGTTTAGAATTAAGCAACATGTTTTCCTTCATTTTGTTCATTAAGTTCAACAGTTTTTTTTTTTATTATTTCATGATCTGAGACAGTTTTCATTGTTTTTCTACATTATTTTCTTTGGTTATTTTTGGAAAATAAAGTTTTTGAATGTAGATATGTAGCAGGTTGTCATTTATTTTTTAAAGTGTCTTTAAATAAATATGCTTAGTTTCCAGACTTAATGAGTCATGAAATACTTTTTAAAAACATATTTAACATTTAAAAAAAGCCTCAGGTCGGCTTTTTCAAATGTTTTAAGACATTTTCTCACATTCAACTTTAACTTGACAGATTTTTAGGGCAAACAGAAACAAATAAGAAACATATTTTTATGGCACATATTGAAATGGTTTGCCATATTTCAGTCTATCCTCTGAGCCCCAGCCTTAATATATTTTTCTTGAAAATATTGAAGCAATATAAAATTTTAAACACAAGATTGCCGATGGAGGTGGAACATGTGATGAGATATTTTTAAAATTGTGTTCAAAATGGTCAGCACATATTATTTGTCACATTAGAGCTGGATGGTACAGTATCTGTTCTGTAGGTGGTGCTGGTGTCACTTTGGAGGGTTTTTAAACGGCAGCGTGTCGATGCACTGATGGGATTTTCTACAGTTTTCTTTTTTTTCTTTTTACCCKCTCAGATTAATGTAAGTAAACATCGTGGACAAATGCAGCTGTTTTTGACCTCAAAACACTGTAAAGAATGAAATCATTATAGCTAAAAGCAGAAACCCCCAAAAAGCTGCATTCAGGGTTTCTTAAGTTTGAGAGGAGGCAAAAACAGATGACAAGGAACAAAAGATTTAAGATCAAATCATCCAACTTCCCAACAAACAAACACTCAGAAACTTTCAAATAGTTTCCCTCACAARAACATGACAGGTGATTGTGAAGCAAATGTTTATCAATTAAATAAAAAACTGAACTGTTTGATAATTATATATTATTTCTATTTTTATTTTCTAATCTTGTGAAATCAAATAAATAAATGTGTTTTATCTACTTTAATAGAAGCCTAAACTTTATTTAATAATGTAGAAAATAAAGAAGTGGAGTGTGGTCCATAATAAAAAGACTCAGGATGAACGTCCTGATGCATCTCAGTAATCCAGGTAAAAAATCAAAAGGAAAAAATTGTATAGGCAGGCCTGAATTTAGCCTGAAACTCTCAGACTGAAGAAGTCTCTTGGARGAGAGACGAAACGTTTCATTAAAGAAGAACCCGTCCAGAGGACCTATACAATTTTTTTCCTTTTGACTCAGGATGAACATTTTTATTTAATGCTTTGCTCAATTATTTTAAAGCATTATCATATCCTTTATTCAAAAAATATTACATTTTCAGAAGAACTGCATTTTACTAATAAAAAAACATAAAGCTGTTACTCTTATTGCATTAAAAAAAACACAACTTCTATAACGGTAGAAAAAGATTATTCCTGTAAAAAAAACAATACAATGCAAGGSATTTTATTTAATTTTGATCTCATTTAGAAGAGAAACAAAACCTCTCTGACCTCCACAGAAAACAACTTGAAGCCAGTTTCCAGCAATAAGGTTGTGCAACAATAAGTTTTTGACACACAGGAAACCATTTTTTTGAACAAATAAACTGATGGTGTTTAGTTTCCTGATCAGCAGAAATTCATCTGAATCAGCAGTTATAGCAGGACTGAGTAATGTTCCTGAGGACAGAACAGAAGTTCTTTTACATGCTGATGGGTTCAGTTTTATTGCAGACATAATTAAGTCTCACATTTTCAGAGGAATAACCTGCTGACTTCTGTGCTAAAATCATTTTATATTAAGAAATAAGAGAGAGGCTGCTGCTGTCCTTGTGACACATGTGACTGAGGGTTTGCAGACAGGAGGGTCTTCAGAACCGCAGCCAGGGTCTTCAGTTGGCCTTTGACCCTCCTGAAGACATGGTCAGTTCCTGCTGCCTCAGCAGGGCGTTGTAAAAACCTCTCTCTCTCTGACAGACTTGTTTTGCTCATAGGCGTAATTTTGCAGGGGGGGTGGGGGGGTTGGGGGGGTTATGGCTCCCACAATACTTGATCCATACACGCCCCCCCCTGCCCAATAAAATGATATCATTTGCTCTAACACAATAGCAATGAACTAGGTAAGTACACAACTCTCCTGTTGTTTTTAACTTTGACCTGATTCAAACATTTAGATGTCATGTTTGAATGTTTAACCAAAAACTGCTGAAAATAACATGCTGATTGATTGATTTGATTGATTTTTATTTATTTAAGTGTCATGCCCCTTCCGGAGCCCAGCCGTCATGGGCTTATAAGACACTCCACACATAATACATAACAGAATGACCTCATTCATACCACAAAACCCACAAAAAATATCATCATCACAATCAGAGACTCATCCAGGAGACAGAACATGCTGTCTTTTGCAAGGTTTTAATCTTGTCACATTGTGACTGTATTTGTTGAATTGTGTGTTGTCATTTTTCCCAGCCAAGTTATAGTGCACCAGGTAAATATATACCATCGGAAAGTTGATTAGATTAGGTATGTTGTATAGTACATCCTAAAAAATGCAAAATGTTTGTTACTGTTGGAAAAAAGTGGGGGTGGTGGTGGG